CAAATTTCGAACACTCGCGTCCGTACCTCTGTCGCACCCACAACTGCGAGTATTTCATAACATTATTATCATAAATTTTTGTGTCGTCTCTGGACATAATAATAACATAAACAAAATTATATCGCCGTACATGACACACAGTGTGTAATAATAATACCGCAAACCCCAAGTCCGAACGTCGGTTGGTGATTTCCGTTCTTTCGATTCGAAAACCGTTTGAACGCGCATCGTTTTAAATGTACGACAACGGCGGCGCGAAAATCTCGCCTCAGCAGCCATGTCTGCCGCGGGCCTAGTCACGGGCACCACGGACGCCACTAACATCAACAACAACAACAACAACTGCTACTACTACAACAACCGCTTCGGCGGGACAAGACCTCCGGCACCCAACAAACCGCCCTCGCGCGGGATCGCGTCATCGTCTGCAGAGCYGGGTCGGCGGACAAATTGTTGCCACTGTATTAGCTGACGAACGTTTTTTGTTTCATTATCTTATTATTATTATTTTTTTTTTTTCATTCTTTATTGGACATTTTTTATTTCAACCGACGACACTATAACGTAACGACGTTTATATTTACATTAATAGTTATAATAATAATACCTAATAATAATTCGTATTTCACTATACCATCCATCGTCGTCGTTCCAAGAATTATTGTATACCATTTAAATGTATATCCATTGCGTCCGGTTCGTTTTTTAACGTAATATTTTAAACCATAAACGATAAAATATCTATTGTGATATCATATATTATTAATATAATATACTGTCGTTTTGATAACATTGCCGTTCGATTTACGCAGTCGCGCGACGACTGCAATCGAACACCGTCGCACCGTCTTTCGCGGCGCGAGAGCTGTATAGTACAAGAAACACTACTGTTGTGGTGAGCACCTGAAGACCATCGTTGTCGTCGTGACCACCGATCAACGGCCGCTACAATGCCGAGCACAATCAGAGGTAAGCGTCAACGACTTTTATATAATCGATTATTAAAATAAATTATTATTGTTAAGAATTTATTGTACTATTTGGCGCCCTCGCCACCGATAGATTTTCATCAATATTGAATATCGATAAATTCAAACACAACATTATCGATACTATATAGCGCGCCTAAAATGATTCTTATGAGTTGTAACCAATGACGTCAATTGTGAAGTATAGGTACGATTGCGGGATTCCAGTGTTTGGGCATTTTAATCGATTTTCTATCGACGTCGGCACTTTGCCGCTGCCACTGACGTTTGTTGAACATTTTTTACCATCATCGTTATTGTTATTGTTTTTTATTTTTTTCGCATYGGGTACGACGACCTATACGGCAGAAGCACGCGAAAATTTTTCCACAATATTTCGTATAATATTATTAGTATATACCTAGTCTTTGGCGTCATCGTAGTCACACACAAACACACACACACCGACACACATCACACACTCGAGTATACGCACACACAGCAGCGCGCGATACTACCTAAGAGCACTCACACACTCGCACACTTCGAGTGTAAATGGTTTCCTGCGACATGACGATATAATAAAGTATTAAAATATTATTATTATTATTATTATTATTATTATACCGAACAACGCGCGCACGCGTATAGTTATGTGATGACCATGTACTATGTGTCATTTTGCTGATGTGTCGAGCGGGGACCGGCAAAAAAATTCGTATATCATACCTACACAAGTATATTATACACTCCATACATGGGCGCGCGCGTTTCCGAAATTTTTCGGAATTTCGCTTGGTGGACGATTTTGACAATGCAATCACAAAAAAAAAATATTACTATTATGCGCACCACGCGCTCCACTGTTGCCTTCGCACACTTACACACCTATATAATTTATGCGTATCTATTATGATAGGTATTTAAAWTTTTTTTAATTTTTAACGAAACAATATTATTTTATAACCATGTACCTACATATACGTTAAGCAGGCGGATATTGACATATTCGGATATTGTTATATTGTGTACCTATATCTATATAGTAAAATAGTCGATAGGTGTATATGCCGTATACATGATGCATAAAACTAATATATATATATATATTATATGTGTGTATACTATTATATTATAATTATAGGTTCTTCCTAATTGATCAATAAAAGCTAATCACGATTATACCAAAACTTTATAATAATATATTTTATAATAAGCTATTAAGCGCACTCGGCGATCGTTATATACGAATTATATTGAGTTTGTATGTGCGACGGATAGTCGGTTGGTCGGTTGGCGATTAGCAAACAATAAATAATTAGGCATCGAATGATATAATTGTAAAACAAAAAAATCGATTTACGAAAAAAAAATTGCGTTAACAATGTACATAATGAATAATGACGGACGAACAAATTATGTTTACAGTAGTTGTCTGTCATTATTCAATTATTATTATTATTATTATTATTATTATTATTAAAAGAACRCGATTTTAACTTTACTTTTTATACTTGTGAAAACTGTATATTCATGCACATATTATATGTACATTATAGTATATCATTTTAATTCAGTTACTCTAATGCAATATAGTCATTGTAATAGTTGATTAATAATTATATTTCACAAATATTAAAATCCAAAGGAACCGAAAATGAAACTTATCAACATACGTTGGTTATTTATTTAGGTGCCCAAGTTCACACTGCAGCGGTTGCGGTGGCGGTTACGGAAAAATGAAGCCGGACTCAATTTTACCGCCACCGCGGCGGCACCGCCAAGAAAAAAGAATTTTACCGCCACCGCTGCAGTGTGTGGCGACCTTTATTAGGATTCTTGGATCGACTCGTAAAACATTTCAAGGAAATTCGCCTGATTAATATTTTCTAATTATTATGAGACACAGTTTTCGAAGTTCAATTATAYGTGGTTTATTATAATTATAAATTCTAGGTAGCAATAATGTAGTATATATATTATATATACTGTATATATATTACATAAAAATACTCCACTAAAATGTTTACGCTTTTTTTTAGATTTTTGAATGATCAACATTTACTATAAGTATTTTATACTAAATTGTATGATGTATGGCTATGTTAATATTATATCAACTATTACCTAATTGTAGGTATATATTATATATTATATTATATACTATATAATATAATATATAGATAATGCGACACGCACGTTTTTCGCTAATTGAGTACACGTATCTGCAGTATAGAACTTTTACTCGATAATATTGTTCTATGGGTAACATAGGTACCAAACAATTAATAGTAATATACACCAAGTCACCAAATATTATGTTTATATATCATTTTCACGTTTCCCGTATGTTTTCGGTGTGTTCATTAAGATATGTCAATTTTGTAATGTCCATAGATGATAGATAACATTTCCTATTTTCGAAGTTCACAGCTGTTATGGTGATACATATTTTATATATATATCAATGTATCAAGTTAACTGTATACACTTGTACATACATTTCAAATATTTTCATATCCATAACGGTGAAACGCCCTTATAATATCAATTTATTGGAACAGTTTCTTTTATCGCATATTTATTCAATAACTTTATTCAAATAAATACCAACAGTAAAAATAATAACCAAATTAATTTAATGTATGCATAGCTAGAAATCATAAAATATTTTATTATAATATTCATCATTGTCAATCTTCTTCGTCCTTATGATAATATGTCCCCAATGTTGAGTATTTACAAAACGGATATATTACCGCAGCGTTGAAGAGTATACATATAACCATATTTACTTATAGTTTATATTTATTATTACTCATCGAATGAATGGCATTTCGAAGACGAGTAAATAAATCTTTGATATAATACTTAAATTGATGGTAAACACTGTACACAGCATATAAATGGTATATATAAAAAGTAATAACAATACCTAATTATAAAATGTAATTTTATATCCTATACACTCGTGTTTACAATACTATAATACCTTGTTTGAATATTCTATTAATGATATTACTCTACAGTGCACTTCACAGTCATCAGGCGACTATATTGTAGATATTGGTATTACTTTTGATCTGTTACTACATTTCAGACCCACATTGAGAGGCCTTGAAACTTTAAGTTTTTAAATTGAAATCAAGCAATCTAGCTAGTTCTTTAAAAACTTTATATTGTTTATTATTTGCCCAGTCGTTTTGAATTATGACATGATTATCCAAGACCCAAAAAAACTAAAGGGTATAGTTGTCAACTTTGAAGAGCGCTGTGCAATTTTTTGTATTTATTCCATACGGCGTTAATAAAGCGCACTTCATGCGTTCTTGAGCTGCGACGTCTCAGTTTTTCTACCATATGTAATTGGAGAAAAAGTTATATTTAAATGTTTCTAAAATTATTAATGGTGAAGTCCACTGTTAAGTGAATCTTGAATTGAGTCAACTTTAGGATCCAGAAACCTTTTMCCTTCCGCGTTTCTATTAACAAGCATAATACTATTCAACCAATCGCTTAGGAATTGTTTGAATGGTCATCATTCTTAAGTTTTTTGTATACCTAGTATAAGAGTTAAGTCAAATTAATGAAGCAAGTTAGAATTGTATGTGTTTTTATAAAAAGTTATGTATTTCTATTTAATATTACATAAATGTGTTCTGACTTTATATTATAATATTATGTAGGTAATTGGGCTTGTCCAGTTATCAAAAATAAAAAAATAAATAATTACGATAATAGTGCGTACATCGCGATATCAGTCTACCAAGTATAATCATTTCAATTAATCGAAAAAAAGTCTCAATTATAGCGCCTGTGACGTAGGAGTCTAGAGTGATATAGTGAGTACATCACTTTCGTTCGCGACGTCGACTACCCCTATACCGGTTTTGTTGTACATCCTGGTTGGGGTTGAAGAAATGTCTTTGAAAAGTCGCGATGTCACCGGGCGACGGTTGCAATACACGCGGCGGGGTAGGAAAAAACACACTCGGTGACAGCACTAACACGGACACAGGGTCGTGACACGGACAAGAGGATGTAGACGAGCGATGAAGCCAGTCCCGTCAAGCTTTTTCTACCCCTCTCCTCAGTTTCCACTACGACTCGTCCCCGGGTACCCTCCGTCGTGTCAGCACCGCGTATCTATCGGCCCGGGCGGCCTCTGTGTCGGCGGCGACCGGCGCTCGATAAACCAGGCCTACGCCGACGCACCGGGCACGCACACGCACTACGTTCACGGCCCTACGCGCATCTCGACGACGACGACGGCGGCGACTACGACGGCGACTGCGACGACGGCCTGTCTCGCAACCGCCGCCGTTCGTTGTTTCCGTGGCCGCGTCCGTTCAACTCGGCGCCCGTGAATCTATAAAAAACACATAAACACACGTATTTATACCTGTATAAGATATTATTCCAAATTGTAATCGCGTGACCAACGCTGCAGGTATACCGATCTCGTGTCGTCGTCTTCGTCTTCGTTGCTAACGAAAGTGTCGTTAACATAATTTTATACCGCGACAAAACCACATACGGTTTGTAGTTGTTAACGCAACGGGTAAATATAATATCGGAACAGAACCGGTCAACTGCGGCGTGGAAGATTATGAATAAGTGATTATCACAAGATGCACGCCGCCAGTGCCGCGGCCGCTTGCACAGCTGCGGGGTAGCGCCACACCATGAGGAAGAAGTCGGCTATCGCGGTGGCCACTGGCCACTCGGCACCGGCTAGCGTCGTCGTCATCGTGCARCCCAAGCAGGAGGCCGACGCGGAGACGTCGACGGAGGAAGATGTCGCGGCGGCCGAAGAGACCGCCGCCGCCGCCATAGCAGACGAACCGAGTTTACCACCCGTCCCGCCGGCCGTGCCCATCTGCTCGCGGCTATTTTCACCATCTCCGCCGCCACCGCAGCAGCAGCCTGCACAGACAGCCGCGGCTACATCCGCACAGCTTCCGGTACCACCGACTGCGGCAACCATCAGCACAGGTAATA